CTTCCATCTTATTGGTCTTGTATTTTATTAACAGAAAGAGTAAAATAATAGCAATAGAAATTTGTGCCTTTTACTAATAATAAATATTAGGAAAATTTTTTGCTAATTTGCAAATTCTTTAGAGTCATCTTAGTACATACCCGAGGTGTCTTACTTTGGGGACCTATGACCGCTCTCTCGGTAGGCACATGAGGTCCAAGTTCAGAACTTAAACTCGACAATACCTCCTCTCTCCACATGTAAAATTTCATCGGACTAACTGTTTAGAAGTTACAGAATTATGTCCCGCTATATTTTTTATGCCACTGTGTTGCTTTTTTGTCAAAGCATATACAATTTTTTCTGTTTTTAATGAAATTTTCAGAGTTTGTCTCGGATTTTTGCTCATATAACCGTTATTAATGCACGGATGTTGCTGATTTTTAATAGCACACTTTTCGAAAGCTTGTCTGACGAAATTATTGATGATTTGGATCATGAAGACAACTGAGGTCTTGAGAAAATTGGTTTAAAGAGACAAACAGACGGACTTTAGCTTTATCGACTCTGCTATCTTTGACGATCCACAATATGCTTATATACTTTATAGGGTCGGAAAATTATATTATATATACCCTTCTCACGATGGTGAAGGATATACAAATTTCTTATTGTAATTGGACACTTTTGATGTTTTATATTCCCAGAAATCAAAATCATAACTGTTTCCTGCTATTATATTGAACAATATTGTACATTTACTCATATACTACAACAAATGTATGGATGTATGTATGTAGTATGATGAATATTATTATTTCATTGTGTTTGTTGCTTGTTTTCGTCTTCTTTCTATCCTTGATATCGGCGGCGGCAAATAATATTCAATGATAAAGTAAAACAAAAAACCAAAAGCAATGATCAATTCCTGGAATTGTAGCGTGTACCATTGATGCATCTTAAAATTGAACAAAAACAACAACAACGACAACAAAAGTCAGAACAAGGAACAGACCATCATTATCCATACAAGACGACGATGTTGATGACTGGCTTAAAAGCTTCGGCGCCATATAGCAACAAACTTGTTATAGCTTTTTTTGTTTTACTGTAATTCTGATTACTTACTACCAATTATTGGGAAAAGAGTTTGTTTTTGTAGTTTAAAAGAATGCAAAGAAAAAAAGGTAAAACGAACTAAATCTTTTAAAATTCAAAGAACATGATTTCAAAAATACACAACCACCACACAAACAGTCAAGCAGTCATTAATTTAATGATCATACTTAAAACTAAACAGGAAATTTGTTTAAGTTTATTTAAGTTCCTGTCATTTTTTTAATGGATTCGTAGTTAACACAGTATGTAATTCAATTAAATTTCATTGAATTGTTTGTAATTTGGAATTTCGAAATTCATGTCATCCATTCCAATTGGAGACCCAATAATTACATTTGCTATTCACGTCTGCCTTACTCTACACCGAAAATAGAAATAGTGTAATTAACCTAGCTAATGTTTTGTTCTGTTTAACATACATTTAATTTATATTTTAATTTTATAACTACATTAATAATCATAATCGTCCAGAAATCCGCCTCCTTAGTTTGGTTTATAATGTGTATTTTAAATGCTCGCTACACGCAACCAAACACTAAGTATTGTTAGGATTCTATTTTAGCAGGACAACAATCAAGATTGAGATCGCGTCTAAATGATATTAAAATTATTATTTACTTTATGTTGTTTTGAGGTCTCCTTTTTTTAGACATTAAAAATTCTGAATAATTTAATTCAGGCTATTTTTTAAACATACAATTACATACAATACAATTCTTCTCGAATTCACCATAAAAATATAACTTGAGTTCTTAAAAAATCATAAAAAACAGACTACGACCATGTTAATATTAAGGCTAGGCCCTGTAATGAACCGATTTGCATAGAATTTATTTCAGTAATTTATTAGCGTAATTTTTGGAAAAAAGTTGGAACATTACAGAATTTTAAATATTATGACCTGTACTCTACATAGAATCAGAAAATTATTTAAACCGATTATTATAATTTAAGGGGGGGTAGAGGACCAATGAAATATTTAATACCCTGCAGTTGTTGGGGGGATGGGGCGTGTGTTATATATCATATTATAAAATATTTTTCCAGTGAATAACAGCTTAATTTTACAAATAAAAAACTGCATAACTTCCGGTGAAAATTCATAGCAAATTTGATAACATTTTATATTTCCAGTGTCAATACATATTTAACCATGTGTTTGTTATTTTCATTAAAATAAATTTCTTGGTGGATAGTATAGAAGTTATTGAAATAACTAGCACTTTAAAATTATAAATAAATTTCTTGGTGGATAGTATAGAAGTTATTGAAATAACTGGCACTTTAAAATTATAAAATTTTTAATACCCATTCTCTCAACCTCAACAATTCATATTGGAAGACTTGATGACATTTCAGCATTTTCCGTTAGGTTGTCTTATTTTTTGTCAGGCAGCTGCTGACCTTTGGCAAAATACATGGGCAATTTATCAAGGGTTTATTAGATTTCTCTAAATGCCCTTTAATTGGACAACTTTATAATATGACGATTTTGTTGGAATTAGATTTGTCAACATATGTATGTATGTATATGGAAATGTTTGTATGAGAACTAGTGGCGAATTTAGTAGGAACTTTGTCATAAAGTGTTTACATAAAAAGTATTAAAACTGCAGGGTTTTACTTTATCATTTTATTCGTCTTTATTAATCTCGCTTGTTTTATGTCTGCTTTTTGTGTGATTTTGATGACGTCGAGTTGTTGTTGCAATTAATTTTTTGTTATGTATTGTAGTTTGCCACTCCTTTTTCGTTTCTGTTGTAGTTTTAATTTTTGGTTTAATTTTTTTCCGTTGAATTTATAGCTTTTAGTAGAGGATTAACATTTTTGTATAGATTTTTGTTAATGGCTTTTGGTGTGATATTAGATTTCAATAAAATCACACACACACACACAGTATTGACGAACAAAAACAATAATAATAAAAGCAAAATAATTTGAATGATTTTTTTAGTTTGATTTGGTGTATGGATTGACAAAATGTATTTTCCAGTGGTTCCGCGTATTGTTGTTTACAAAATCATCAAAAATCTATTTGCTTTTTTAACAGAAAATTGAATATTTAAAGAAAAATTATAATGAATAAAAAACAGTAAATATTGTAATAAGACCTGTTGAAAACGCAATACCTTTTGGGTTAATAGATAAGCATATAACATATGGACACACACGCCCATAGAGAATAGAATTAGGTAGGTTTCGTTTGTTTTGATTCCATTATAAAACGAATACGAGGACAAAATTGGAAAAGGTTTTCTTGTATTTAAATTAAATAAAATCTCGAGGTACTAAGTAATTAAATTCAATGGCTCTTTCTCAATATAGATTTTTAATTTTTCTTCTACTTCTATTCAAATATACATATTTACGAAAATTTCCAGACAACGAATAGATAAAAAATTAATTTTAATTTAATATCAATAAATATTATGAGATTTAATAGCATAATAAAACCATATCATTAAAAAAACTCCAGAATTTGATGTTTTGGTTTAAAATCAATCAACAAATAGGGTTTTAATTATTAAAATATTTAAATATATTTTAAATATTTTGTGTTCCAAATTATTAAGGAAACAAACAAAATTTCCCAAAATAATGAAGTTTAAAGCAATTTGTGAAAAAGAGTGTTAAGCAATTAATTAAGATAGAAAATTTTTAAAAAATGTTGCCATCAAAATATCATTTTCATGAAAATGATAGATTGCGACTATTGAATATAGTCTCTCGAAATATTAAGTTAGAAGTAGAAAAGTAAAACTTAAAAAGTGCTAAAGGCGATCAAATTTTTACTAGCACCCTAATGTATTGAATATTAAAACATATTGTGACAAACAAACCGACAGCCGGAAAAAACAACAACTTTAAAGTAAATTTTTATTTTATGTCTCATTTAAGTTTTGCGCGTGTTTTTAGCCCAGTTTACATTATTTGTGTTAAACAAACAAATTAAAAAAAACGACAACAACAACAAAAGACTTTTTGACGAAAAGTTTATGAATGAGATAGATATTCAATCATTTATTTCGATTTTTATCAAATTGAAATACAAAACCAAATCTATGAATGAATTTTTGAAAGAAATAAAAACGAAAAACACATGTTTACTGATTAAATTAGTTTTATTTTGTTGTTCGATCGATTGATTGAATGGCCCGTTCATCTTACGGTTATTGATCTATAATGATATAATTTATTACTAAATATACATTTATACAAAAATAAAAATAAAAATACGTTGATCCTAAAGAATACATGGTTCATGATCTTATATACCACATACATACATATGTATATGTATGTACATATGTTTGTGTATATCATAATACATTCTAGATACATATGTACATACGTACATAGATAGTATTTATTATTCACGATTATATTCGAATCCAATTTTATTTAAATTTTTACACAGTAAGAATTCCTTTGATATTTTTACTATACTAATATAATAAGTTATAACATACATATCTAACAGATACCTATCTAGATTTCTATAGATAGGATTCTACTCAGTATTTACGAGCAGAATGTCGACCCAATTATTAAAGTGGATTATCAGACATCGAGAATCCTTCTTATTAAAATTAGTTAAATCAGATAACAAATAAAGTTGATATGCATATTTTTTTCTATGAAAATAAATAAGAATATAAGTTTTATTCCATTTGTGTACTAGCTTCTTCAGAGTTGAAAATTTCCAAATAAAGGTTAGTTATTAAAAAAAAAAAACTCCAATTATGTATACAAACCACGTGAAACATTTCTGTAAAGTTAAATTAAATTTATTAAAATTTTTACGAAAAATTCTAAATAATTTAATCATTAACATTAAACTTTTACAATATTTCTAATTACACAATCTAACATATTTTTATTTTCATTTCTTTTTCTTTCAGAAACTGCTCCACCTCCATATCAAAGCCACAATATGAATCGAATCGAAGGTAATTCAAAAATAAATTAAGAAAAACTCCCATGATTGTCAGTTTTAATTTGACTCCAACAGGCGATAGGTCATTTTATTTGGAATTGAAGTACCTATTTCCATACTATATGTATATAGTTTCAAAAATTTGAAAATAGTTCTTAATAACCCAGGAAACAAATAACTTCCAAAGATGCGAAAAATAAGTGAAATTTTATAATTTTTGTCAAAGGAGGGGTTTAATTTTGTATGGTTCCAAATTCACTAACCTATACTTTGGTCTCTGGGTTAAAAATTTGTCGGCCTGTGTAATCAAGCAAAACACCCCACTTACCTTTAGATGAGCGTGCAAAAATTCTGTTTGTATACTTATTACGGTTTACATAAAAATATTTGCAAAAGAAAAATAATTAAATCAAATAAAAAATTATTATTATTTTGGGAAGAAGAAAAAAATGGTGGCGCCGATATTTGCTAAAGCAAACAAACAATACTGACGTCTACTTCCACCTTTGCACTGTTCCACACTTTGTCCCGAGTGCTGCCGCTAGTAGTAGAACGGGCGGGCGCTGCTGTTGATGTTTGTGTTTCTGCGTCGCTTGGTGTTGCTGGTATTTGTGCTGTTTGTTGCCCTAATTCTTTTCACACAACACGTACATTCATTCATTCTTTCATCCATACAAAAGTATGTGGCGATGGAACAAATGTGTATAAATTTGGTGGCGCCGCATTTATTATTCGCAAAAAAAATACAAAACAAACACACTCAGCAGTGTACTTTTTTGCTGCGAACATATACAAACAATGTTGTGTAAACTTGGATTTTATTTAAGTTTTTTTTTCTCACTGTACATTGCACGTCCTTCACATACAACCAGGGATGGAAAATCGAATTAATGTTCGATATCAAAATTAAGTGTCACTGTGTCTGTGAGAACGATCGTTCGCATATTTGGTCTTGCAAGTCAGATCATACACAATAGATTGTTACTACATATTTTCAACGTTTCAAACAAACCCTTCGTACGTATCAACTTTTCCATTTCTGACAAAAATATTTTATTGTTTGTTGCCATATCGTATGCTTTCAGATAGTAGTAGCACTTTTTGAAATAGAGACAAAATTAACAAATTGTTACAAAATTGACCGCAGACAGATATATTGTAATGCTCTGATTTGATCGAAATATTTTTTGGCACGCCATATGAACATTTTCCAAACAAACAGAAATTATTTTGTACCACTAATATTGTCGTAAATACGTACACACATACATATACTTATACTTATTTGATTCTTATTAAATCAAGGAATTTAGATATAAATAAAAAAGGATATATTAAAGGATATATTATTAATATTTAAATAAAATTAAATATTTTTATTTATTATTTATTTCGGTTTATTATGACATTGTTTGGAAAATTAAATAAATATTTAAATAAAATTAAATATTTTTATTTATTATTTATTTCGGTTTATTATGACATTGTTTGGAAGGACAAATATTTCCATTATGTATTTAGATTCTAAATTTTAGAATCAGTGCAGCCAGATGAGGGAATTTATCCCCAAATAGGGGATTTTTTATAGCAATTGGGGATAAAATTTTTGGTTTGGGGCTCTGGGGATTTGTTGGGGATGATCAAACAATTTTAGGGACTTTTTGGGGATACACATTTTTAACCTTTTTACTTTTTTATTTAAAATTGTATTTTATAACTTTTGAGATAATATTAGAAAATACTTAGTATTACAGTGTAAATCAAAACTGAACGTTGTTAAAGGTAACATATAACAAAATCTGTGATCACTTTTATTATTCACTAAAAAAAACTGTCTTTTTGATAGATAACATAAAAGTCTAATATTGCATATAAGGTAGAGAAAAACAATTTAATCTGAAATCACTTTTATTTCCCACAAAACCCCTATATTTTAGTGAAAACATATGTATAAACTTAAAATCTTAAAAACATGTAAGATAGTTGAGTAACTGTACATACATATAATAATAAATCATGAGTCGTACGTATGGACTTATGCATCGATCCTTTTGGAATGTAATACTAAAATAGGAAGAGGGAACTTAATTAGTTTTGCAATTTTATCCTAATACTATAACTTTTAAACGAATTATTGACAATAACCTGTTTTGTTCCATAAAAGAAATTTAATGCTTTTGGAGTTACACATTTTTAAATGTGAGACGGAAACATTTGACTGATATTCTAACATTTCATTGTCAAACAATACCAAATGTTTATTGAAAATTCCAACCATTTAGCACCAACCGAATGGACCTTATCGTGTTTTCAGCAAACAGACGTATAGACATGGGAAGATCATCAAAGTATCTAATAAGGAATAAAAATATATAAATTTTTCGATGATGGGGATTTTTGGGGATAAAAAATAATTATTTGGGGACGAGGACTAAAAAATCTATATAATATGTATTTTTAGAACATTCATCAGAGTAGGGAACACATTCACAATACTAAATACATTTAATAACCGTTCATTTTGTTAACTATGTAATTAAAACACATACTAAACTTATTTATATTATAATCTAAACAAATATTTTTTCTTTTAGGCGAAAATTCACAAAATTTAATAAACTCATCCTCGTTCGGAAGCACAGACCCAGAAAACATTCGACAAAACTATTCCGATCTACGTGTACGAGTTTCCGAATCAGTAACCACTGACGGTGAAGGTAATTTCGAAAAATCTATTTTATATCTAAAACTTTTTAAAATTTGTGCTAAAATTTATATATGTTTTATGAGGATAAACATTTATTTAAATATGTATCATGATTGTCCCTTAAAATAAATAGAAAATAATTGCATTTCCACATTTAGATTTCCTAGTTCCAACTGTTTGATTGAGAGCCATAATCAAAGTCAGGTTTAATTGAAATTGAAAAATTTTCCGTAGAACTTTTTGTAGGCGCAACTACGATATTGTTGTTGTTTCTGTTGTCTCTCTTCTTTGGAATGTATTTAGTATAATAAAATGTATTTAGATTTCGTGAATAGAATAGAAATTAATTCAGTATTTCAAATCAATTCAGCTGCTTGTCTAATTGATCTGTATCGGTTTCTCTTTCTGCAAATTCGGTTTTATTGCTGCTGCTTGTTCTGTTGTGTCTGTCAAGAACAAGTAGTTGCTATTTTTGTTGTTGTATTACAGCTCAAGCGCCGCATACAAATGAACCAAATGCTGTTGTTTGTTTGTTAAAAGAATGTCAAGATTAAGATTTGTCGTTGTTTTCTTATTATTGATGGATGGATAGGTAGATGTTGTATGAATATTGTTGTTGCTGTTGAAAATATCTATCGTCCCTATTTTAAAAATGAAATAACTATGCGCACAACAACAAACATTGTTGCCATTCATTGGCTTGTGTGTTTGACATCAACATCATTAACAAACAGCACAATGTACTTGACTTGGCTTTTAATCAGTTTGAAATTTCTATACGAGTACTTTAAGTTATAACTAATATAACGTTACTGCTGTTGATTTTTTAATTTTATTTTATTTAATATCTTTTTTAATGCACAAACTAAACTTGTTTTTTTTCTTCTTTTGCAAGAATATTGAATTTTTTATGAAATAAATAGAATAAGAGTGTAAGCAAGACAGGCTACAGATACAAACATGTACATGTATGTATGTACATATCGCTCAAGACCGGCATAAATCAAGAACTTCGTTTTGGGTAAAACAGCATTAAATGTTTTATGATATTTGAATACTTTTCTCATTTGAACTTAAACTAAATTTTTACTTATCAAATATGAATATGTATGTATGTATGTACATTGTACATACCTGATAACTTGAGTTTTAGTTTTGACGTTTACAACAAAAACAATTATTTTTCAGTAATTTGCCTAAAATTACGAATTTTTTGAGACCCATTTCGAAAAGATTGCAGATTTTAAAAATTATATAGGTGACTGCGATAAAGCAGCTGTTTATTTTTTATTTTTGTGTAGAGTATGTCATCTGTCAGAAGTTGTTATTGTTTACATTTTATGACTGTTAATTGTTTACATTTAAAGTGACATTATTGACAGTAAGGCTAGTCAATTTAAATTTATATTTTTACGTATATATCAAAGAAATTCACCGTAGAGAAAAACCCATGGTAAAATTTCTGGATAGAATAAAAACAACGATTTTTCAAACTTTCGTATGGATTTTCAAAATTTCTTCAGAATTTTGATCTCATAGACCTATGAAGGGAACGTTTCGATTGATCTAGTAACTACATAGTTGCACTTCTTTACTTCAGATATCCAGAAAAAACAGAGAAATGGTAACTCTAGTGCTCTCTAGTATCTGCACATACACATTCTCCTTCACACATCGATACAATTTAAAAGGCAAAGAGAACAAAACATGAAAATAAAACTCAACTAGCAAGAACAACATTACAAGTATCTGTGTGCCTACTTGGAATAATAATGTTTGTGTGTGTAAAAGACTGAGAGCCGCGACGGCAGCAATGAGTTTCGGCTCACTTGTTTGTTTATTTATTCAATGTTGTCGTCGTTTATCTTACGAATTTGTCGGCGTCAGCCCCACACAATAAACTCTGATGGCGGGGTTTCAAAGGGGATACTTGGGGGCTAGTAGTCATGTTTTCTTAGGCGCCAGGTTGCCGCGTCAAGTCGTCACTTTCTACAATATATTGATGATATTTTAACTTTTCAGCGATTGTGAGTGCGCGATTTTTTTTTTATTTCGTGTTTTTGTTTTTGTATGTTTTTATTTAATTTTTCTTTTTATTTATTTCAACCAAATATTAAGTACAATAAAAAATGTATGGCCCTCTTCCTCATGGTTTTTTGGGTTATTTATTTTAGTTCTTGGAATTTTGAGGTGTGCGGCGGTTAATAGAAAAATAAATATTTCACAATTAATTAAATGTCTGTAAAGTTAGAAAATAATCAACTTTTGCTTTTACGGTTGAAGAGCGATGATCGTTTAAACTTGACCGATCTCCCATTTTTATTTTCTGAACCGATCTTGCAAATAAAAATATACACATACATATGTATGGTATGTAAGTACAATTGTCTGCATGGAGCACATGTTATTTAACAATAGTACTAAATGATAAAATTATATTGTTATTGTATTTTGCTGCTATAAAAGATAATAAAATACATATCTGAGGTCACAATAAATATTGTTAAAATTTAATTGTTGCTACTTATACACATTTTTAAATTATTGTTGCTACATATACACATTTTTAAATTATTTGTTTTAACAGGCGGTTTCTTTAAATCTTACATTTAACAGTTCATCAAGATTTTTAATTTTACCCATGGGTGCTGTGTGTTTAATTTAACTGTATATACTCTTTCTTAATTTTACACGGTCCCTGTGTCTTCTTATCATTATTTTTTTTAGTTTTTTTTTTTTTTTTTTGGTTTGGACGATGGATGATCTCAATGGTTTGATCACGTTTTAAAAATATAGATTTTTTTCACGATTATCAAATTTGACTTTGTTTACATGTACATATGTACGTACCTAGGTATACAGTTAGAATTTCAATCTGTATATTATTCGAATATTCTCTTTATTGATATGATTAGATTTTATTATTTTTACTAAATTTAATTTTAGTTGTAATGCCCACCTCCCAACAAAGTAAAATCTTAAGACGATTTTGCTACACCCGTCTGTCTGTTAAGGACCTAGAGAACGGGAACCAAGAAATGAAATAATTTAAAAATATACAAAATCGGTGGACCACTTTCTTAGAAGAATACCTCTTATGCGGTGCGTACTAATGTACTAACTACAAGAAAAATAAAAAAATATTTTTGAGATCTGGGATCTGAGGCGCAGAGATGGAAAATCGTTGTTTTTTAGTAATCAGCTCAAAAAAGGTAATTTTGGATATTACTTTATACTGAGGTCAAGATTTTTAAGCTCTTCTAGGGAACTTGGAACCATTCAAAAAAAATATTATTTTATTTTTGTCATGTTCAGTACATTAATACCCATCGATTGAGAGGTATTCCTATGTACATGAGATTTTTTGAAATTACTCTAATGAATAATTAGTTCCTTATTACAATTTATCAAAAGTTTATAAAGAATATTTTCATACAAAATGTATTCTATAAACCTTTGATAAATGATTATGAATAAGACCCCTAATATTTAAAACCTTTTTTTGCATTCCTCATAATTTTTTGTTTGCAAAATTCTATGTAGGAAAACATTATTTCTAAATAAGAAATAGAAAAATAATTAATAAAATTAATTTATTTTGAATATTTTTGTTGTTGTAAATGATTGTGATTTTTTGACGCCTAAGTGTTTTTTATATTGTTTATTTATTAGTTTGTATTTATGTGTGTTTGTGTATAAGTGTTTATTAAATAATGAATAAATATATTTTTGTTTTTGCAAATAATTTGTTTAAATTAAACTGGCGCCAGACATTTTTATAACTAAACTAGTGGCTAAACTCGCAAAATAAAATAAAAAAAAAAAACAATTTGTAGAAACGAATTAATAAGAGAATATTTGAATAAAATAAAATAATTTATAAACAATTATTTTATATTTTTTAAAAGGAAATCAAAGATTAAATATTTATTTATTTTTTCTTATTAATTTAATTTTTTGATGTGTTAAATACTCGCTTTATTCACGATTTCAAATAAAGTTTTATAATGCCGACATTTCTTTCCGTTCTGAATAAAATGTGCAAAAGTATTCGCATGACCAAAGTTACAATTCATGAAATTTAATAAAAAAAAAATAATGTCCAGTAAATAATACTTTGTTGTTTCGGAATGACGACAGTTGAATCTAAAGTGATAAGTATTTTAATTTTTATTTTTGATTTTTATTATTATTTTTTATTTTTGCTATTTTAAGGTGCGCCACAGTCTTGAAATATTTTATGTTTTTTGTTGTTATTGCACTTTGTGTGTGTATGTCATTGTATAATTAAGAATATAAACAATAAAAACATTTATATAATATTTATAAATTGACGCCAGGCCAGTCAGTCAATTTCAAATATTTTCTGAACTTTCTATTACTCTTACTTAAAATGTAGTGTATAAATAACATAAAATTAGTTAAATTAGATGGGTCTATTTTAGTAATATGTAATTAAGGTTTAAAGAGATTGTCACTATCAGTACAAGATTCAAATAATAACTTTTGACAAACCAATAATAAGCTGAAGAGTTGTTTTCTTTTTATTGGCGGCAACGGAAGCATTTTGAACGCACTATTTGCTTGTTTTACCTTACCTTTTTCAAATTTAAAGAAAAACAGTTCTGATTAGAATTACATATCAGTTGGAGTTATAAATTATTATAAATTCAATATTTAAAATGAATAAGGTCAACACCATTTGTAATGCAATTTGAAACTTGTGGAATATATAAAATATTACATATGTAATAGTTCCTTTCAGTGTCCGGGGATAGAATGTAGGTTATAAGCCTGTTGGATGGACATTATAGAAGAATCTGAAGTTAAAAGTACTTATGTACATTGTACATATATGTATTCAAATTTTTTATTAATTTTGTGGTATCACAAAAGTGTCTCACTGTGTATAAATTGTTTTGTATATTACAGCATTTGTTATTTTTAGAATTTTGTGGTGTTGGTGTTTCATTTTATTTACATGTTTTAGTTTTTCAATATGTAGTTAGT